CGCAGCGAAGCCACCGGTCTTCAAACAACACGGCGCCGTTTCGCACGGGAGACAAGAGATGGCGCAATGAACGCCACCAACGAACGCCACCAACGAACGAGCATACGGCGCCGAGAGCCGGCGTCTTTAGCAGACGATCTTTTCGACTCAAAAGCGGCGCGCGTTCCGCAGGTGTCGACAGTCACAGAAACAAAAACAGCCGCGGTAACAACAAGGAACTGCAGTTCCTTGTCTGCTAAAGACGCCGGCTTTCGGCGTCGTATGCTGGTTCGTTAGCGGCAGTTGGCGTCGCGACCGCTTGCGCCATCCTAGGCGTGAGAGGGATGGATCACCCGATTTCCGGGACCCCAACCTCGCTCGCTGGTTGGAAAGAGGCCTCGATCAACTCCTCGGCCGTATTGTGCACTCCTATGGCCGGAGGCGGCGCCCTGTGGACGTGCTTATTGCGAGATCCATGGCCCGCTTTTTTGCCTTTCTAATCACTGTGTCTCTTCTTTTTTGTACTTTTGTTGCGTTGAATAGTGCGTATGGGATGACGTAGATGATTCGAAACACGACGAAGGCCTGAACAAGCCGAAGCGTTCCGGCATTTTGGAATGCCACTTTTCGTTTTCCAGCTGAGACGACAATGCAGAACCCATCGTAGGCGGAGGAGAGGCTTCTCTATTTCCCAAAGGAGGTAGAAACTAGGACCTAATTTTTTTTAAGCTCTTGCGTACAACGAACAAACATGACGTACACTACACAGTTACAATTGTGAACAAACTAGTGTGCGCAGACCGCATGCTTATTCTATACTGTTTAGGTTGAAGTAACACTGTGTTCAATTAGGCAGCCGGCGATGTAAAAACCGTGAATTGTTTTATTCATCAGAACAAGAAAAAACAACAACAACAACAAATCCGTGTTCTTTCCTTTCCAGAAAAAAAAAAATACTACGAATGGCAAAAGCGGGGGGGGGGGGGGGGGGGGGTGGGGGGGGGGGGGGGGGGGAGGGGGGGGATGAAAATGTAGAAATATCTAATTCAAAGACTGCGGGCAATTTGGAAAATTTTCATTGGGCAAGGGCGGAACGTTCCCGAGGCTTAGTCATCTCTCAATATTCAATTTAAATCGTAGTGATAAGGTAGGAGCTGTATAGCTATGTATGTGAAAAACAAAAAAACAAACAAAAAAAACACTTCAAATGTTTTGTTATTACTGATTTCACTATAATTTCAAATGACTACGAAATCTTAACTTTGCAACATGAAAAATCTATATATTCAGTAGGTTATCGTCGGCCTTGTGGGAATATTTCTTCTTTTTCAAAATCCTCGAAATATTCTTTCGGTTTATTGGTGAAAATGGCTTTACTCTATACTTTGGCGGCGACTTTAACATAGATATGCATGCTTCCTTTAATCATAAACAAAAAAATTATATCTTTAAATTAATCGTATAGGTTGTCCAATGTTATTCTTCACCCTACTCGTGTAACACCTGTACATGAGGCGTTACTAGACTTTTTTTTAACAAACCTTTCTACGTCGGAAGTAATTGCCGGAGTAGTTGGACAAACAATTAGTGATCACCTTCCGATATATCTACTTTCTAATGCGAGCTATAACTTAAAAGAGACTCGTAGTCCTAAAGTATACTTCAGGAAGCGCTAAAACCTTGAACTTTTTGAACACCATATGAATTCTGTAAACTGGAGTGCGGTACTGTCCAGCGTGTCGGCAGATGAGGCGTTTGTCTGTTTTCTTAAACAGTTTAGAATCATGTACGACCGCTGTTTTCCTTACAAATTGCAAAATGTTTCTCGAAAATCTTGTAAACCCTGGGTTACGACAGAAATATTAAGAATGATAAATAAATAAAAGAAGCTCTTTACACCAATTTGTGAGCACTAAAGACGCATGTATATTGTCTAAATTCAAAAAGGAGCGAAATGAACTAACAAAGAATTTAAGGCAAGCTAAACGTGCTTATTTTAACAATTTATTTCTTGATACCAAGCGACCAGATGTTATGTGGAAAAAGGTGAATGGAATAATTAAGCAAGGATCGTATGGGCATCGGATCACAGAAATGGAAATCGGAGGTATTAACGTAACGGGATCCGCTTTAGCGGAAGCTTTCAATAAGTATTTTGTTAACCCTTTTTCAAAGTGTAGGCTATGCGGATGCTTCTAGATGTGGGCAGAGTATTTCTCCTAGTCTCTTCTTCTTCCCAACTGACGAAGATGAAGTTTACTCAGTTTTCCAAAATTTAAAGAATAGTAAAAGCACTGATATATATGACCTTCAAATTCAACCTGTAAAATATGTATTGCGGTGCATTGCTGCCTGTCTGACCTATATTTTTAATCTGGTACTAGATAATGGAACTTTTCTGAAAAACATGCAGGTGGCAAAGGTAACGGTACTATACAAAGGTAAAAAAAAAAAACAAAAAAACTTGGGAAATTTTATGCCAGTGTCCGTTGTACCAGTATTTTCTAAAGGACTAGAAAATATTATACATAACAGGTTGTATAGTTTTTGTGAGAAATATTCTATTCTTACCGATTCTCAATGTGGACTTAGAAAAGGTAGATCTACAGAACTCGCATTATTAAAGCAAAAGGAGTTAGTCTTAAGCAATATAGAAAATAAGCTGTTAACACTTGGAGTATTTATAGACTTTTCCAGGGCTTTTGACCGCCTCAATCATAATACTTTGCTCCAATTTCCAAAGGCTTTATATCTACGGTGTGCGTGGTAGATCCCTAACTATAGTTAAAAGTTATCTTCAGTATCGCCACCAGTGCGTTCAAATGGATAAAAAGCGATCTCAATTGC